TCACATGATAAAATGCTTTACTAAAAATACATCAGGGTCCAAAAGTCTACGACCACACAGAATATCTGGGATGTCATTCTGTTAAACCTGGAAATAAAAGTTTAACATTAAACAAGCCTTGATTATGTCATTTTATTTATTTTTTTGCACTACATAATTTTAGTGTAGTGCAAATATATATATAAAATGAGAAATATCACCATACTGGTGAACCATCCTAGCTATGAGAATGTAAGCAGTCTATTTTTTTTTATTTTTATTAATCATTTTACACCTAACAGCGTCAAAGGCTATATTCATGGCAAACTGAAAAATAAGATTTAAAATAGTATTAATAACAATACTTCAATAAATTGTATACAATAATTTATAAAAAATATTTTTACAAACAAAATAAAAAACAAAAACAATTAGCCTATATAAATCCTTTTAAACTCATATTTGGTAAAAAATTATAAGATTTTCTCAAGGAGAAACTAAAAAAAAAGTCCATTAATGTACTGAGTAAGCAGTTTCCTTTCACATTCAAGAAAGACTTACTGTACCGTAAGTGTTATGAGTAAGGTCAATGTTCATCATGGAGACATCAACTTATCTCTCTTACTGCAGGCCACTTGTGTTTGTCTCTTATCGCTCACTGTGACACATCATGCTGTCAAACCTCACACTAGGAGGTTTGGCTTTCTGGGATGGTAATCAAATGGTTCAGGTCATACTTAGAAGGGAGATGTTATTATGTGAGTATAGGAGAGCATAAGTCTAAGTGGACGTCCATGACATGCGGAGTCCCACAAGGCTCAATTCTTGCACCGCTCCTGTTTAGCCTGTATATGCTCCCACCAAGTCAAATAATGAGAAAGAACCAAATTGCCTATCACAGCTATGCAGATGACACCCAGATTTACCGAGCCTTATAGCCAAATGACTACAGCCCCATTAACTCCCTCTGCCAATGCATTGATGAAATTAACAGTTGGATGTGCCAGAACTTTCTTCAGTTAAACAAGCAGAAAACTGAAGTCATTGCATTTGGAAAAAAAGATGAAGTTCTCAATGTGAATGCATACCTTGACTCTAGGGGTCAAACAACTAAAAATCAAGTCATCTGGGATTTCGGTATGGAGTTAAAGGGTAGGATTATAATTTTTTTGGTAGTATTATATCACATTGTGAGTGTATATTAGCACCTTTTGTTGTTTCAGTAGTCATGTCAAAGCAGTAACTAAATCAGCATGCTATCATCTCAAAAACATTGCAAGAATTAGATGTTTTGTTTCCAGTCAAGACTTGGAGAAACTTGTTCATGCCTTTATCACCAGCAGGGTGGACTATTGTAATGTCTCCTCACCGGCCTTCTCAAGAAGACCATTAGACAGCTGCAGCTGCCAGGATTCTGACTAGAACCAGAAAATCTGAGCATATCACACCAGTCCTCAGGTCTTTACACTGGCTTCCAGTTACATTTAGGATTGATTTTAAAGTACTTTTACTCGTTTATAAATCACTCAATGGCATAGAACCTAAATACATTGCAGATATGCTCACGGAATATAAACCTAACAGACCACTCAGATCATTAGGATCGAGTCAGTTAGAAATACCAAGGGTTCACACAAAACAAGGGGAGTACGCTTTTAACTATTATGCCACCCGCAGTTGGAATCAGTTTCCAGAAGAGATCAGATGTGCTAAAACATTAGTCACATTTAAATGCAGACTCAAAACTCATCTGTTTAGCTGTGCATTTATTGAATGAGCACTGTGCTACGTCTGAACTGATTGCACTGCATTTTATGTATAATCATTTTCTATTTTTAACTGTTTTAAATGAATTTTACATCAATTTCTAAATAATTTTAAAAGTTTTTAAGTTCCCTGTTTTATTGTTGTAATTTTTTTATGATTATTTTACTTCCTTTTATGTAAAGCACTTTGAATTACCATTGTGTATGAAATGTGCTATATAAATAAACTTGCCTTGCCTTACCTTGCCTAGGTGACCTGGTTTTGCCCACAGTACATCACTCTTAAAACATGCTCTGGAATATGACGGTTGTTCACGCATGCCAGGCATTTTAAAATGAAGATGGTTTAAAGGAAAAAGCCATTTCAAAATGTTCATCAGAAATGATTACATTTAAAGGGTACAGGGTTTCATGCAAGAAAAACATTCGAAGAACATATAACCTCACAGATATAGCTTATGAGAAATGACACAACGTGAAATTAATTGTAAAGGAATAGTTTGATGCCAGTGATGACTGATAATTTGAGAACTAATGATGTTTGATGTCAAACCTGATGAGGTGCATCTACCAACACCATATTTGATTTGAGATCCTTCAAAAATTCACCTTTTGTGCTCTACTGGAAAAACAAAGTTATATGGGTTTGTAATGACATGAGGGGAAGTAAATTGCACATTTTTATTTTTGGGTGAACTAGAAGATTGTTTTTATTGTGTGACAGTGACAACACATTTTGCCTTGCATGGATGGTTTGTAGTGTTGGAAAGGGTGGAAATAAGAAACTTTGAGACAAAGTCAGTATCAGTTGTTCAGACAGAACCCAAGCTGTTTTCCGGCCCCACTGGAGACAGACAAGAGCCCTACAATTACACACAAGAGGAAGCGTCTTTTCCAGCAGCTCTAAACACTATGACTACCAGACACATGTTGTCTTCTGTGTGTAGTGATATTTTGATTACAAATCATGTTGAGGATACTTTTTTTTTTCTAAATAACAAAAAAAAATTGAAGGGCAGAAGCCTATAAAAATACAGATATTAACATAATACCACAATACCACAAGTGCAATTGCCAATGTTAATTTTCCCACAGAAACAAAATATGTCATACAGTAAGAACATGATGTCCATAGATAAATCCAGGCAAATCTCCATATTACAATGGTTAGACAGAACAATTTAAAAAATCATTAAAAGGTATTTATGAAAATTGTAGCTCGGCACATTCAGAAATTAAATACAATAATTTAATTTTTAAATATCTTATTTCATTTTAACTAACTACTGTTCAAAAGTTTAAGAGGTAAGATATTTTAGATAAGATTTTAATTTTTTTATGTATTTTAAATAAGTCTCTTATGCTCACCAAGGCCACAGTTATTTGATAAAAGTTCAACTGTGAAATATCATCACATTTTAAATAACTGTTTTCTATTTTTATATATATTTTATATATGCAAAATCCATGCTGTGATGCAAAGGTGAATTTTCAGCATCATTACTCCAGTCGTCAGTGTCATATGATGGTCAACATCGCGCTTGGCACTGTCCGTTCCTTATTATTCAACCTATTAGTGCGGTTTTGTTCTGCTTTTGTTGTTTGCCTGTACACAACAGAATATGGCAGCACATGATTTTAAAAAATAACTAATTAAAAAAACAACTTTTCGTTGATCTGGCAAAAAATGGTCAGCCTAAAGTGTATGTGGCTGAATGATTACAAGTACTTCAGGTGTGCGGCTGTGCAAACGGCAACAGCAGAAATGAAGGGCTAATACATTGTTGTTATGGATCTGCAGGCTTCATCAAGTGTGTGTGCAGATCCAGAATAATGAGCCAGACTCCTAGGTTGCCATGAGTGCACAGATAATATAATGAGATGACAAATGCATGCCTGGTGCTTAAATGTAATATGACACAGACGATTAGAGGACAAAACAGCATAGTGAAGTTTGAGGTATATACTAATCACTCATTATGTTCAAATAATGTGCCCCCCTCTATCTCAATAAGCGCATGTTAACATAAACCTCTGATAACACTGTCAAGCTCACAGAGAACATGGCAGCAGTCTTTGTGGCGTCTGTCTGCTCCGATCAGGCTGTAAACTTCCTGAATAAATTATTCCTCTTTCAGGTCTCAGACTACACTGAATCAGTTCAGTTTGGAATCTTCCTGTTCCATTTAGTCTCACGCTTGTATCATATGAGCTATTGAAACCCTTCTCTCTTTTGAATAAAAAAAAGTGTTACCATATTTTTTTTCTTGAGACTGGTCAGAAATCACAATTTTTTTTTTATGCAAAAGTTTTTATTTTGGTTTTAGTACAACTTTTGTATCATTTTTGGGGTTAGGCAAGATTATGTAATCTTAAAAAGTTAAGTTGTTTTTTTGTCTGTTTGTTTTACTGAAAATGCATAGCTGCCTTTATACGTGTTGGGCAGGTGTCCCACAAAAGGGTATTATCACTTCGGGGCGTACTTGGCATCAGGTTATTGTTGTTAACTAAATCTAGAACCATTAAAAAATTGTTACTAAAAAAACATTTTAAAAAATTTACTTATTTTTATTTCAGATAGTTTGCCAAGGCAATACTTGTCATTTTCTTTTATTTTAACTTGATGTACTAAAATAACAAACTAAAACTGAAATAAAAATAAAAACAGTAAATCTAAAACCATTAAAAAATTGTTACAAAAAAATATATATATATTTTTTTTATTTCAGATAGTTTGCCAAGGCAGTTTGCCAACTGAAATAAAAAATAAAAACTATATAAAGAAACTAATAAAAATGACACAAAATAACAACCAAACAAAATTAAAACTTTTAACTAAAATTAAAATGAAAACGGAAAATTCAATATTTAAAACTAAATTAAAATTCTAATAAAAACTACACTGGCATCTCAGTGATACTAAAATAACATTTCTTGGCATCAACAAATTTGAAAACCCCTATCGCAGCCAATACACTGGTATAGGTGACTTCAGGCCGCTCTTGCCATTTTTGAGTGCAGTCAGCATCAGATGGTCTGTGAACGGTCTGTGGGTGTTTTGTGGGCGTACTGTCCGAGGCCACACTGTTCATAATGATCCTGAACCTATTTACTTTGGAAACTTTCCTGAATCTGAGATACATGTCTATCACTATATCCTAACCAGACAAGAATCCAGCAACAAGTAATCATTCTGCCGACACCAAACACAAATCAGCTTCCTGACGTTACACAATCACAGCCAATCAGAAGCGGTTTCATCCACAGTTATGAAGAGCAGGGCGGGGCTACTCACAATAATGCTGCAGAAGTAGAAACCAAGAAAATGTCATCAAAAACTCAGATTAAAGGGTTAGTTCACCCAAAAATGAAAATTATGTCATTAATTAACTATGCACTATAAAATAGTGCTAAATAGTCCTGTCATTCTCAACTCGTAAGACCTTTGTTCATCCTCGGAACACAAATGAAGATGTTTTTGATGAAATCCAAGAGCTTTCTTCTGACCCTGTAAAGACAGCAAGGGAACTACCAGAAAGACAGTTGCATTGCTGTCTATGGAGGGGGTCAGAAATCTCTTGGATTTCATCAAAAATATCTTCATTTGTGTTCCGAAGATGAACAAAGGTCTTAGGGGTTTGATACATCATAAGGGTGAGTAATTAATGACAGAATTAAAATTTTTGGTGAACTAACCCTTTAACATGGAAGAGTAGATTTTATCGCTTGTATCTTCATAGTGTCATGCATGGTTAGGTGGAAAAAAAAACTCAGATGTGCAAAGCATATACCTCAGCGATGTGGCATCATGATTTGCGCAAAGTTACACTTTGGTAAAGCTTTGTTGAGAGTATCTGGTATCTGGGCCGTCTCTGAGGAGAGGGTGAGTCCATGACTGGCACATGGAAAAGATTGAATTATCCTACTTGGTGAGCAGAGGTTGTTATCAGCGCTGAGTGAGAGGAGACCTGTGACAGATGGCCATCTACACCGCCTCAGCTGGCTGCTCTCTTCCTCCATCTCCCAGATTCACTGCCTCAGCAGACAGCTCAATGCAACCACCACAGTCAGGAGGAACAGACAGCAAATGAGATCACTGCTACAACCTCACCATCACCGTCTTTCTATTTTCATCTCTCTATCACTTTTTCTCCCTCTTCATTTCCTGTAAGTTAATGTTTGACTGGCCTTAATGACACAAAACAATTCTCAGAACTGAACTCTCTTCCCATAAGCAAAACAAGAAATATGGCACTGTTCCTCAAGGCATTACAGTCAAAGGATGTGATCATGGTTCAGCTATGGAGTTTACGGAGCAAAAATAAACAGCATCTGTAGCAGCATCACAAATTAACCAGTAGAAAATTTTTTTACCGAAAGTGACATACATACATAAAAACATAATGTACCAACTATAGTCAGTCAATTACAATTTATATATGATTTTTTAAATATATATATAAAAATACATTCAAAAATTTGAATTACATTTCAAAATATATTCATATATACTTCATAATATTACTGTTTTATTGAAATTTTGATCAAATAAATGGTGAGCATAAGAGGCGTCTTACAAAAACATTACAAAATCTTAATTATTCTAAACTTTTGACTGCCAGTGTATGTTTATATGCACACAGAATACATAGTCAGTAAAGTATAATTTGTATTTATTTATTTATTTATTTATTTTTTACATTTCAATTTATGTGTAAAATTCTAGTTATAAAAACAAAGGAAATATTACATCAATTATAATTTAGTGACTACATATAACATAACAAAGATATAAGATAATACAAAGATAATTAAAGATAATACAACAGGTAATAAGCTAAATTCAGACCCAAGTTAACAACTGCATCCCATAAATGACCCTTTTAAATTATTCAAAGCTTTGACATTGGCAATTAAGCCATCAGGTGCAAAAGTAATAATGAAGCATCATAAATACTAGATTTAAATTTTTTGAAGAAAATATGAGTGGTTCTTGCCTGTACAAAACTTGGCACCACATTGCTTTTGGGTGGCTGCCAGAGAATTGAAATGAGGTTGCTACGGTGTTTGGAACGGTTGCTAGGTTAGTGGTCACTTCAAAAAAGTAACAATAGACCTCTTCTCAAAAATAAGCATACAAACTTTGCAGTTATGCACCAGGGGCAATAAGCGCAAAATAATAATGAACTCCAATAAACTCTGGTCGATCTCGAAGACATTACACATTTTGCTGTATTCTGAAAATGCAACAGTTTGCAGAGCATAAGCGTTCATATTGTTGATGTGACAGATGTTTTGTGTCTGCCCAAGGCTAAAAGGGACATTGCTGTTAATGCATTCAAGGTAACAGCTCGGAATTTACAGAAATGATCTGGGCTGAGATTATTGGCTCTTATTATTGCGAGCGTTATATGAGTGTCTGGGTGTATATATATATATATATATAGAGAGAGAAAGAGAGAGAGAGAGAGGGGCAAATTAAAATGAAGACAGTGAAAAGGAAACAGCAGAATTAAATCAGCAGAACAAACATTACGATCTGAAGGAAGGGTGAAATGAAGTCTGAATATCGGGCTGATGAAATTGCGCCTTTCACATTTAGTTATAGATATTTCCTTTCAGAGGACAATAATCAAGCGACCCACACGTCATATTTCATATCATTGCTTCCTGCAAGGCAGCAACATCCTCCAGCGCAACAAAATTAAGCCATGCAAAGTAAACAGATACAAGAGAGATAGATGCTCTGATCATGAAGGCAACAATGAGTCAAGACAGAGGGACAGAGAGCAAATCAGCATTAATGACCATGAAATAGTTTAACACAATTTTCTTTCCGGTGTTGACATAAATCCCACTGAAACAGTATGTTGAAATGGGACATTCATGTACATCACATCAGGGCCGTAACCACCATACATGCTAAATTATAATTAGTTATGGTCAAAATGTCCTCCCAATACTTGATATCACTCCATTATGCATTGCTCTGCTCATAGTTAAGATTACAGAAAGACAAGTTTTAAAAAAAGACGACCAATTACCGTATTGGCCCGAATATAAGACGACCCTGATTATAAGACGACCCCCCTTTTTCCAGATGTACCTTTTGGAAAAAGGCTTTTTAAAAACCAAATCTTGTTTTTTCTCTTGTAAAACACATTTTGTCTTCAATTATTTTCATATTGCATATTTTTCCTATTTTACTTTTTGTTTTGAAAGTATGGTAAAAACTGGTAGCCCATCTGAATTAGGACATTTAGGCTATCCATCTAATAGTAGCCTACCAAAATCTTATTAACAGTAGAAGTTAAATCTTACTGTAGTCTTCAAATCTGGGTACTGTCTTACGTTTTAAAATCACAAAGGGAGTTTGGTGCCATCAGGCTAACGTGACAGTCACGACTCATGCAGCTGTAAGGTTTTCTTTTTCTTTTGTTTTACTCGGGATCTTTACAGCACGCATTGCATTACGTATTTCATGGCACACTCGTTTTATGCGTATTTGGCGCCACCTAGTGTTGTGGGTGTATTATTGACATGTCAAAGTCTAGACCCTGAATATAAGACGACTGCGTTTTTTCAGATGTATTTCCAAGAAAGAAATATCGTCTTATATTCGGGACAATACGGTATGTAAAAAGGCAGGCTTTACTGTTTGCAAAAGACTAACATGAAATACAGCAAAACACTTTAGTATTCATGGTGAAAAAGTGCAAAGATGTACAATAGCTAAACATTTAATATTTGACGTTTTTATCACAGAAATATTAAACAATCAGCACCAAAAACCACTCATGCAATTTACTCAACTTTTTTGTCAAATTTAGCGGTTTAGAATTGAAAATATAATGTTTTTTGCTAATAATTTATGTGATTAATACAGGCTAATTAACTGAATGTGACAAACCCAGAGCTGTTTTAAGCATATTAAGCATACGTAGGGTTGCAAAAAGGTGGAAAATTTCCAGTAAATTTTGGAAACATTCCAGAAATTTTGGAAACTTTCCAGGATTTTTTTGAATATTCCAGGGATTTTTGGAAAGTTTCTGGAAATTTATCGGAAATTTTCCACCCCTTTGCAACCCTAAATACAATTAAGAGTGAATGTGTTAACTTTCTTCTGTCTTTATTCTTTATTCTATAATAAATGTAAATCTTTTAATTATTGATGATGAATACATAATAAAAGCCAGTTGAAATAAAACTTTATGCAGATCAAATGAGTCATGGACATTTTCGGTCAATATTACTGGAACATTTTTAATGTGTACAATATATCATCTACAAGTTTATTTTGTCAACATTTAGGAGAACACGAGCATAAAAATAGCATTAAGGCTAAGAGAAATTGACTAAAATCCACAAAATTCTAAATGTGTTTTCATGAGGCAGCCAGGACAGTCCAGTTTAGCGTCACCAAACCCACAGGCCTTATTTGATAACCCTCAGCACAAACTAAAAGACCCTCAGAGCCCCAAGTTACAAAATTTGCGTAATATCTCTAGTAGCAACACTGCAGAAAGACTCTATCAAGGTTGTGTAGCGCACTGGATTTCATCATTTTAATTCAGAATGCACAGTGCACATCGAAACTGTTTGTTTATCCAACAGATCAGAGCGATTGTGCAAATAGCAGTAGTGAGAGTCAAACAAGCTTTAACAAGAAATTTTCAAATCCTGTCATGTCACGCGCAAGTGAAGCATACTGGGATCATCCTATTCTGCATTGAATTTCATGCAATATTTAACCTGACATCAACAAGTGATTAGCTTAGCGATTCAGCGTATCGCACCCCATTCAAACGTATAATTTACACTAATCAAAAGCTTTGATCTTACACGTTACACAATATAATCTATGCTCTCTGAAATGATACACGTGAGAACAAATAGGATTCATTTACAACTTAACATGAAAATGTGTAATAATGTGATTGTAGGAAAGTTGATTTCATGCCGAGAGACACTGGGAATGTAATCCTATCTTGCAGGAAGTGCACATGGAAGCATTTTCCTGTTTGAGCTCATGATTTTTACACAATGGTGGCTCGAATTTCAATATCAAAGCAGCTGCAAACAGGCAGAGGGCGATTCATACTCTTGGCAACGACAACAATTATGGGTCTCTTTTCAGTTGAGAGCTGCAGTTTACACATCTGACCTGTCAAACAAACCCCAGCCCTCTGAGGCCCATGAACCGGAGATCACATGATCACATGTGAAAAGGATAGTTAGAATCAGCCCAGCTGACCGAAGGCCGAGCACCGGATCGCTATCTCTACTGAATCACAGGAAACGGTCCTTTCTCAACAACTGAAATAGGGAACAGGGTTGTACTTAACGTCCACTCATCTGTTTCACTTAATCATGTTCAACCACATGCTACAATTACACTAGAGTGAGGAATGAAGAAGTACACTTAAAACATTGACCAGCAAGATCTGCTTAGCTGTAAATGTTGCATTATTAAATAACATCTAGATTAATCCCTGATATTTATAACGAGTAATTATATTTAGTAGGCTAAACATCTCCAGTATGCCATGGAAGAATAAAAATTTGATTCAGAAAGTAATGCTTATGTTCAACTAAAAAGAGAGAAGTTTCATTGTTTAATGCACACACATATAGTTTTTGTTTGTTTGTGTGTGTGTGTGTATATATATATATATATATATATATATATATATATATATATATATGT